TAACTGGATAAAGAAAAGTAGACAGCAGAACTGATCCATGTATAAAGCAACTGAACTTAGATTTATTTTTTTCCTGTAATCAGTCTACTTCGTTTTGGGGGTTTATTCTAGATTGCCTTTTACAGAATTTAGGCTGTTCCTGAGAGATGACAGAACAGTCGACAAAAGATTGCAATAATATATTGTATTTCTTGAATATTGTTGTTATTTTAAACTTCTAGGAAGTGCTTCACTCTTGATTGCCTTAAAGTGCGTTGGTAATATCCTGCTTGTCTTGTTATAACAGTTTGCATTTCAAATCATGCACAAATTAAATTTTGATCATAGAAAAAAGTAATTTAGAGTAGGATTCAACTTTTCCCCATTTTTCTTTTCTTCCTTATGCATTTTCCTGCCAGAGTAACATTCAGCTCCAAATAGCCAATCCACTTTTCAAATCATTTTGAAGGCACTCAGGGAAGGAAATTCTCCTTTAAATCTGGCTAAAAAGGATTGTTTAGAGCAATAATAACAGCTTGCTTTGCTAGGCAGAATGCCTGTAAATTATTGCGTGATCTAGGGAGATTTAAAGTCATAAAAAGAATAGCTTCCATTTCTTTTCTCAGCAGGTTGTCCATTTGGTTGTATTTAGTCAGGGTTTTTTTGTAAATGTAGCCACTTTACAAGTTCATGGATGGCTGTGTGAGGTCAGCACAATGTGACAAGCTTCTCAAAGAACTTTGTGACTTCAGCAGTGCCATGCGCCCTGCCAAAAGGCAGTAATCAAAATCAAATATAATTACAAATGGGAATTGGTACTTTACTTATCCTGACTAGGTATAATTTTCTTTACATTAATTCAAAGATCTGAATCAGAGGATGGCCTCAAGTCAGTTGAATTTTGGTTACCTAAATCTCACAATCAAATATGGGTAAGCTGAGGGAGGTGCTACCTCCCTAAATAGTCTTTGGACTGGTCTTACAGTTAGATGGTCCCTCCACTGGAGATCTAGTTACATTTGAGGTGTACCTGATTTGCAGAGAAAGTGGTGTGCTTACCTGTCTGCTTGGAATTAAATTCCATTGGGTTCAACTGTGCATTTTGGTAAGGTAAAGTTTCCCCTTGACAATGTTTGTCCAGTCGTGTTCGACTCTAGGGGGCGGTGCTCATCCCCATTTCCAAGCCATAGAGCCAGCTTTTGTTCGAAGACAATCTTCCGTGGTCACATGGCCAGTGCGAACTAGACACAGAACGCTGTTACCTTCCCACTGAGGTGGTCCTTATTTATCTACTCACATTTGCATGCTTTTGAACCGCTAGGTTGGGGGGGAGCATTTTGGTATCCACCACTATTCTTCCTCTTGCTATCCATCCACAGCCCTTTGTGACACCAAAAATCTATTCTCAAGGGCTTTTTAGTCCTTCTCTGCGTGTGTGTTAATTTCCAATTCTAATGAAAACCACAAGATATAAACCATTGAATCCTGGACAAAGTGTTCTGCTTTCCCAGTTGTATATAATAGGTATGTAGCTGTAATGTGCTTCAGACATTTTCTCCTTCTTTTTGTCTGTCCCATTTATCCTCCATCTTAAACCCTCTGCTTTTCTCATGTTTTGCCATAAAAAGAACAATTGTTTTCCATTACCAGTTTCCATTAATAGGCATAACACTTTGGCCTGAGATATCCATGAGTAGTATACTGTGTGATAAAGATGAAGTTTATATGTTTGTTCTAAATCTCCTATGCCTTTTTATTGAGAAGTAAATCTTGCAGAGTTCCATCCAGCTTCCTCCCAAGCAAGGAAATATAAGATTGCTTCCATAATCTTTTAATGTGGCACTCAGTTCACAGATCTGTTTATTGTGTTGAAGGATTGAGGTACAATATACTTGCATATCGAAATGGTGCCTTCTGTGCTCATGAGCAGATAAGTCATCTGATTGGAGAACGTCTTTCAGTTTTGTATGGTCAAGTGTACTTAAGAATAACAATTGTGTGCTGTCAGGTCCATTCTGACTTATGGCGATCCTTTTCAGAGTTGTTTAGGTAAAGAGTACTCAGAAGTTGTTTGCCATTCCCTTATTCTGGGGGCATCCTGGGACTGCACAGCTTGGCTCTTCTGGGATGCACAGTGGGGAACTAAATTGAGTAGACTTCTGTCTAGAAGGGCGGGATAAAAATCCAATAATTAATTAATTAATTAATTAATTAATTAATTAATTAATAAATAAATAAATAAATAAACAAATAAATAAATAAATAAATAAATTTCTGGTTATTTTCTGGTAGACGTATACTACAAAAACAAATGTTTGCCCATTTCATCTTTTGGGAGATATTCCAGGGCCTTTTTGGAGCTGGCTTGAGCAGAATATCCCATATTTTATGCCATTCTCCCATCAACCAAGGCAATATTCTAAAATAACAAAAGGATAACAAAATTAGAGTCATTTCCCCAAAAATCTTAATGTTAACAATACCTACCTAACCTCTGGCTCCTAACTCAATGAGCTTTCCAGCCAGCACCAAGTGTACTTAGAATTTGTAATAACACTATGGATATACCGGTAATTAGTGTTTCAAATTCTATAGTTATGATTGCTAGGCTGTTACATCTTGATTTAGTGGTTAAGTAAGTCATTAAAAAAAAATCTAATTCCTACTTGTCTCACAATGGATGAAGAAAACAGATTGACACTCTTTCAGTTTATTTCTATTTAACCATTCATCTGAAATGTGTTGCATTTATATGTGAGGTCCAAATCACTTGTTCTTAGAGTTGGTGCAAAAATCCCACTGTTTTTAATTGCCATTGCTTAATTGGGTTCTCTGTCTAGACTAAGCCATTGGTTTCTTTGCTGATTCTACAAAGAATATCCGGTATTCCTGTTACCATTTTATAAGAAGGTGAGGGTTATAGAAAAGAGTACTGCTGTGGCCATGAGTTTATGGAAGCTCAGGAAATTGACAACAGAGGTCTAAGTCCAGAGGTTTGGAATTAATTTGTGAATCCCATATGTATGTGAAATTAAGTTTCTCATGGCTTAACTGTTCCCTTTCAATATTATTAATATATGACTTCTGAAGAAAACAATGATCAGGTTTCTAACTCACTTGTGTTCTTAGACCAGGTATGTGAAGTGAGTTCTGTAATTTTTTGTTTGCTTTTATAGGTGAGAAATTGCTTTGGTTTCAAAGTCATCTTGATCTGAGTAAAGCAGAATACACAAAAAAAGAAGCCTGTGAACTCATCGAAAAGTATGTTTGTAGCAGATGAGTAACAAGAATTTTGGTGTTAGTCTTGTCAGCCCTCTATTCTTATTTTGTTGTTTAGGTAATATGTGGGACTTACAGGTTGATGGGAGCGTGCTAGTCCAATCCCCTTAGTTGTAATATTGAACATTGTGATGCAAGAGTCTGAAGACTTTTGCATCACTCCACGAGAGCCAGAAACCAGCTCCAGGGAGCTTGGCTGGCATAGAGAGGCTACTTGGATATAGAAGGTACCTTGTCTTGAGATAATTGTGATTGTTTTGAGTGTAACTACAAAATGAGGAAGGATTTGCATGCTCCTTAATGATTAGACAGGGCTTAAACATAGATGAGTTAATATTCTCTGCTAGAAACCGTTTGTTTGGCATGCCTTAACTATGATAAAGTATGTCTTATTAGGTGATGTTACACTATCATGTTAGTGGTTTGTGTGTATATGTGTACCTGTGTACACATATACACATTATCCTTAGTGTTTATTTACTCAGTCTTACAATGTTTTATGAATCTTTGGTTTTCATAACTTATTAGACTTAAATGTGTCACATTAGTTTAAAAAATAGCAGTAGTAATAATCTAATTTGCTCCCATTTCTGCAGAATTATTTTTCATCTCCTTATGAACTGCCATCATTTTGGAGAAAACAAATGGGATATAAATCAAATAAAAATTAGGACATCTGTGCACAATTTTATCTTGTCTCTAAATTGGCCTCCTTGTAATTTTTGCAAATATATGCAGATTTAACTTAAATGAAACATTAATAAAGAGCCAGAGCCATGGGATGGGGAAGAAAACAAAAAGTAACACAATCAGTTCACATCCTTAAAATATATAAGTTTTATTTAAATTTTATTTAAGATGATCCACGAAAACTTGATATCCAGATGTGTTTCATGACTGTATTTGCTTCATAGCTCTTTCTTATTCCTTTGGGAGGGATTTATTTATATATGAGTTTCCTGGAGGATGTTCTCTGCAAATAATAATTATTAATCAAAAGCATTAATGTTGCTATATTGCAGTAGTGCTGCACTTAGCAGGCATAAATATAGAACCTCAGCTTTGGAAGAACTCTGTCACTTAGCCCCTTCTGTCAAAAATACTTCTCTAAAACCTTTACAGTGGTGCCTCGCATTACGATGTTAATTTGTTCCAGCGAAATCGCTGTAGAACGAAAACATCGTAATGCGAAAATAAAAAGCCCATTGAAACGCCTTCAGTGCGTTCCAATGGGCTGGAAACTCACCGTCCAGCAAAGATCCTCCATAGGGCGCCCTTTTTGGTGGCTGTCTTGCGAGGAATCCGTCCCAGAAAACAGCGGGGAGCCATTTTATTTACCCCGTGGCCATTTTGAAACCGCCGATCCGCTGTTGGAAAATCGTCATTTTGCGAAGAATCGGTTCCTGAAGCAGGGAACCGATCATTGTAAAACGAAAAAACCCTATTCAGACCATCGTTTTGCAATCACAAAAACGTTGTTGTAATGCGGTTTCGTCGTAATCCGGGACAATTGTAAAACGGGGCACGACTGTATTTTACAAAAATTTCAGTGACTTTGCAAAACAAAAAGTAGGGATGTAACTTTTGAGTGACTAACTTTCTAACACTGTTGTTTTACTATGGATCAGTTATTTGCAGCGATTTAATGATGAGCTGGAGCAGATTCAACTGCGGAACAGTGTCAAAGGAAGACAAGCCCGGCAGCACAGCTCCAGGGAAACAATAATCAGGCAGACTATGGAACGGGAAAGGCAGCAGTACGAAGGATATGGGCTAGGTAGGACTGCTGTTCACTCATGTTGCATATCTAAGCAAAGCTCCATGTCTCTTTTGTATAATGTATTGTTGGCATATCAGAACTGTACACAGGGTAACAGTGCTTACAGAAATAAAAAACTTTCTCCATCCAGTCTTTTGAACATTTTTACAGTCATTTCTCCTGCCTTTATGGTGTGCTTTTTCTTCTACAACTCCACGTTACATAGACTTTGTCTTTCCGTTCCAGCCCATCAGATCCGTGCACTGATGCAGGTTTTGTATTTGATTGGGAAAGACTGGTGAATAGGTAATGGATGGAAAACTGCTGCTTAGGCCCTCTTCTGCCTTGTGACCACTATGCGATAGTATAGTTTTACTCAACCTGGTGCCCTCTCATCTGTGTTGGACTACAGTACCCATCACCACATAAAATTTTTCTGTATGTTTGCAATGTTGCAAACTGTACACAAGCTAGACATAAGTATGACTTGCATTTAATGTGACTTTATTGAAAAGTAGCTTCAAATCATTCCTTTCTTCTTAGCACTATTGCTCTGAATGTCTGCTGTTTTTAAACTCAGAACTTCACTTTAAGGAAAATTGATACTAAAAGTTGGTGTAATTAGAGACATGAGTTTTAAAGCTGGGGAGTCTACTGAACTGTTTGGTTAATATGGTTATTAAAAATTAGCATTGCTAGGAAGTCGTCCCTCCCCTTTCCTATCCTTAATGAGAGAATGACTACTGCCTCCATTGAATTTGGCTTTTCTTGGTGGAAGTATACCTTCTATATTAAAAAGAGAAGAACAAGATTGTCTGATGTTGTAAAAGTAGAGAAATAGTGGAGTTGGTATCTTCTTGTGGAGTTTGTGATTATTAGGCAGTGTGTGGAACTTCCCTGTACAATCATTCATCTGTGTATGTTCTTTAAGAGAATTTTGAGGCAAGCCGGCTTTCCAAGCAAATCAGCAGATGTTACAGTATCTCTAAGATAAAACGTTAAGGCAGCAATAGCTTCAAGTTTTTCAAAAGGGAATGCAGTTTCTCTTCAAGCTTTCCTGGATTTCTGTGTCTACCTGGCTGCAGAGATATACTCCCTGAATGTTTTTGGTTCTTGGTTGCATGCTCTTGTTTTTCCACTATTTTCATTTGCAAACTTGGCTGCTGTGTGTCAGGAGGCAAAGGAAAAACTGAGGCTTGCTCATCATATTGTCTTGGGTAAGCATCTCCTATTTATTCCAGTGAAGGTGAGCCTCTGGGATATCCGATTTGGGCTACTTAGTTCCAGTTCTGACCACTGCAGTGCCATTGCTATGAATTTCAGAGGTCCAGTTTCTATATCCCGAAGAATCAGATTGGAGAGGTGATCAAGTGACTTAAGAGAAATGAACAAACAGAATTTACCATAAAAATCTTCAGTCCACAATATCATTATAGTGCACTGCTGATGTTTAGGAAAATAAATGATAAAGGGGAAAGGGTGAATTGTGTTTTCAGTGTTGTCTGTGGAACTGAAGCAAGAACACCACATGTAGTATTTGAAGGGTCACTGTACTCTTAAAAGAGGCAAAACATCTATATTCATAAGTGTGCCATTTACATTTCCTAGACATTTTAGCATCTCAGCATGCAGGTAAGGATCGTCTGTTTTTATAGATCCTGTGTAAAACTTTTTGTTGATGAAGATGGACTTATAAATTATTTTAATAAATAAAATGTAAGTAGCAAAATCAATGCAGATTGTTAGTTGTGATGCTGGGACATCCATGGATCCTGTGAGATTTAATAGGTACCCAGTAATATAACTAGAGTTGAAAATGGTTCAACAAAAGAGATACAGGATAAGCCTAATGTTTTATTATTGGGCAGCCAAGTGAAGTCTGAAATGTGCAATAAAATCGTAACTACTTGTCCAGTTACATTCATCTTTAAAAGCTCTCAAAATTCTGCATCCTTCCCATAGAGTACACAGCTACCTTGCAGTGTTTCATAGTGCAGAAGAGAGGGAAAAGCATTGAATGCCTGTCTGCTCTTTAATATTTGTGTTTTCTTCATAATGTATAGCTAGAAATCATTGTCAGAATTTCCTCCTTCAAAAAAGTAACATTTCAGTGGCAGAAATCCCATATGCATATGTTATGTTGTACAAGGCTGATGACATCTTCAGCCTTACACAGTGTAACGCATGGCTACAGGATTTCGGTGAGCATCTTTTTTAATGGAAAATTTGTGCATTTTTCTAAGGGACTCAGTTCTAAAGCAAAAAGTCCAATTCATGCAGTCCATATCAGGAGTTATTAACCTTTAAAATGTCCAATATGAAAATATATTTTGGCTTCATAACCTAGGATTTAATTCTGTTTCCAATAGATATTCCTGATATCATAAATGCTAAACACCTTAAAACTTTCAGGTAAGTGCCATTTAAAATTTTTAAAATCTAATTCTTTGTATTCTATTGTTCATCCAACAAATTATCTCTTCATATTGAAATAGTGTGAGACATGTCACACCAATCTCAAGTAAGTAAACTTTACCAGTGTGTCTTATGTGTGAGCACAGTAATTGAGGCAAATTGGTGTTTTGCTTTTATTTGGTTTCTTGAAGTTACCGTATTTTTCACTCCATAAGACGCAGCTTTTCATAAGACGCACCATTATTTTAGGAGAAGAAAACAGGAAAATATAATCTGTTTTCTTCGCTCCATAAGACGCACAGACTTTCCACCCCCTGTTTTGTGGGGGAAAAGTGTGTCATGGTGTGAAAAATACGGTATTTCTCAAGTATTAAGGCTGCACTACAGAAATGAGAATGGTTGCCATATGTTAATTACATTGATATAATTCTAAAGCACATTTCCCTAATCTGGTGTCCTGCAGATGTGCTGACCTACAGTAGCCGGACCAAGTGTGTTACTTGCTGGCAATTGTAGAAGTTGTAGCACAACACCTCTGGAGGGTGTAAGATCACTAAAGGCTGCATAAATGGATTGTAAGGAGGAGCTCTGTTTAGCAGAGGTGGATGCTTCTCATTTCAGCTGCAGGAGAAGATTGAATGTGTGAACCTAAGACCTCATGTGTGATAGTAAAACACAGGGCAGAAACAAAAAAAACCCCAAAAGTGTGTGCTGCTTATATGCCACTGCGACTGAATGAAAGTTGTGAGCAGAGTTTTGACTGTAGTACTGCAGTTTATCCATTGCACGACGAGGCTCCTCCCTGTATGTTTAGTTGCTTTATTTTGATGTCATGTTTAAATGTATATTTGCCATGTCCTCAAACTCTTTATGTTTGAGGAAGTGGACCTGTCCACAAAAGCTTACTTCAAAATATAGCAGTTATTTGCCTTTTGGAAGATGACCTGGAGTTCTTGGTAAAAATGTTTAGTCAAGCAGCCACACTGTTGCTCTGCTCCACTGCACTTGTTGGAAACCTAAAGAAGTTGATTGGGCAACTAGTGACATGGAGTTTCCTGAAATTGGGGCACCATCAGATTTTTCTAATCTAAACAGATTATAATTCAGTTTGAAAGAAAAAAAATGTGTGATTAGCCATGTAAAAGTGATATTTCTTACGACCTAAACTGTCATTTCTTCCCTTCCTTCAAAGAAACTGGGACGGTGACCTGAAGCAGCTGCCAAATATTAAAATGAGAAAGGTGTCCAGTAAAGATGCACTTGGTAGTAGAACGGAGAAGACAAGTGCTGAAGCTGAAACGGAATTATGTGCAGCAAAAACCACAGACTGAGTATTAGTTTGTATGGAAGACAACAACAAAAATAAATTGCCTATCTTTAATGTTCTAAATATCAGTGGGAGTGAAGCTAATCTTCATTGCTAATCAGATGAGAGAAGATCCACCTTCTTCAAAAAACATGTCCCGCTCTATACGTTGGCCTGATGTGAGATCCTGACACCTACTCTATTGTTTTGGTAAAAAAGACTAGTAAAGTACATAAAGACAATGATTTTGGGATATACTCCTATTCTGATCATGCTCAGTTAATTTGAAGTAGCAGGAAAGGGTAGGTTTTTAAGCCTAGGAAAAAGGACCTGATTTCCCTCTCCCTGGCTCTCCTCACCTATTTTTCTGCAACGTAGGATGCCTTCTGATTTGGGAGTCTCACAGTCATTAAAACTGATAGACAAAGTAATTTGGGAGAAAAATATAGGTATGGGGCGATTTAGCCCTCCATTCCTCCTGCCTGTGCTATGCTTTAAATGCACTTCTCTTTACGTGAATCTGATGGTGACTCTGGTTGGTTGCCATAATGACTAGTGTAGCCTTTATAGATGTTTTTATTTTGTACTTTCTGTCTTTCAGGACACTGTGCAGCAGGTGTTTGGGGCTGGTTAGCAATAACCTAGTCAGGACTGCATCTTATATGCTATGGTAGCATACAGTGCACTTTTGAGCATTAAAGTGCACTGTTGCTATCTTGTCAACCCACCTTTTATCCCCACTCTGTCTGGTTCCCCTTTCCACTTCCACTTGGTTACCCCTGGTTGTGAGAAACCCAGCCTGTATTTCCTATTAGCCTTCTCTTGTTTCCTTAAAAAGACCAAGGGTGGCAAGACAGTCTTCATGGCCTGAAAGCCAGGCATGCGCTCTAGCTGTCAGCTAACATTAGGTTGACATCTCCAAGAAGATTTGGCTTCTGGGAAGGGAAAAACAAGGGAGAGATTAAGTAACTGAAAAAGTAGGTTACTGAGAATAACCCTAGGAAGAATATAACATCACTGTCTCAGCATTTGCTTTCTTCTTTTTGGGTGCAGAATTATATTACCAATTTAAAGCATCTTTTTACCAAAATTGAAGTACTTTCTACCATTCAGGATTTGCTCCACTGGCAAACAAGATCCTTCAAATTAAAATGACATCCGTGTGCGTGTGAGAGAGAAAAGGGCAATTTTGGTGGCATTTCGGAAAAAACAATAGTGTTATAGAACAACTTATCATTGCATCTTCTCTATATAACTGATATGACTTCAGAAAGACAGCAAATTAAAATTTATAAGAAGTTTTTCATAGTGGGAGGGAAAAAATCATTGAATTGGTTGGTGTACAAGATGCATTGCATCATAACATGTGGTAGTACCTTTCATCACTGTTATTCCCAACAATAGTAGACCTATTGAATCAGTGATGTTGACTTATCAGATCTGATTGATTCAGTGAGTGTATTGAATCAATAAGATTCAGTTCAGAGTAACAATTGAATTTAGTTAATTAAAATTGGTATACTTTTCATGTTTTTTACTTTTGTGAGGAAAACTATTATTCCTTTAAGCAAGCATATTAAAATTAAAAGTATTGAGAATATATTTATATTTTAGGAGTTTAACTTTGACTGCTTCAGTTCTTGGAAAATTGTGCTGATTATTATTGTTAATTAATTACAACTCATACTATTGTCTTCAACAAATAAATGCTCACTTTAATGCTTTTGTGAGTTATAATTTAATTTGCATATTAGTGAACATTCTTACTGTCTGGGAGTACAATTCTGCACAGGGTACTTACATCCAAATTTACTTAAATTCTAAATTTTCAGCTAAGAGTATGCAAGACTCCAATCTTCCTTTGTAAATGAGGGCCTGTGTGACCAAATGCCTTTTTGATACCATTTTTGTTCATCTTCTTTTTTTAAGTCCATGTATACATATTATTATAGACTGCATCAAAACGATTCTATTTAATAAGGGGGAAAGAATGGTTTTAACTGGGTGGTAGTTGAAGAATAACTGATAGACCATATCTCAGTCCGCCTGTCCTGCCCTTCATTTTCAAAAATAGAAGCAAAAAATAGGTGTTGATTTGACACAGAATAGTAAACAAATACTGCATATTTCTGAATTCAGCAAGGTTTTATCATAACATTATCCGTTGGTAATACTGCACCTCACTGAAGATGGCACCATCCATATCACTGTAGACACGCTGAGGTTGCCCCTTTGGACCAATACAAGAGAGCACATACAACAGAGAAGAGCAATGGAAGTTGAATCAGTTAAAAAAAAAAACCCACTCCTTGTTGGCTGAAAAAACCAGCAACAAATGGCTGTGGAAAAAGATCAGGTTTCCTCAGTTTACATCGTAAAGTTGATGGTAAATATTTCGATTTTAGCCACACTGTACCACCTTTGACACAAACCATGAGGTAAATGCAGTGTAGTCACACCCTACATTTCCTTTTTAAAATTTAAATTTGTTTGCTTTTGTGTTGCAGTATTCAATGTAACAGTTGCAGAACTTCTTGTCATACATGCTACAGTGGTGAAGGCAGGAGCTTACTATTGTTAATATTTGGCTGCACATTTAAAAGTGTTGCATTGGTCATTATGAATGCATTAGCATTATATGTTTGCATTAAATACAAATATTCTCCAGCAGTCAGTTCTAATACTGCACCTTCAAAATATTTCTATCAATAGGGAAGGAAATGCAGAAGTACTTGGACTAGAAAAACAATGAAAGTGTTCAAGTCCCCTTCAGTTACACATATGGCTGTGCAATTTTAATTTTGTTTATATTTACAACATTACGTTTTTGTTTTGTTTAGAAAGCTATTTCTCATCTTAGCTCCTAAACAAAAAAAGGCCAAAATAATTATGAAGCAGCTACTGTTTGTGCTAGCCCGAGACATTTTGCTATCTGAGGTAAAGTGGCAAGTGGCATCTCTGACTCATTCCCACATTAAGAGGCAGAACATTTTTGTACAAGATACAAAATGCCTGCTCCCACATTAAGAGGCAGAAAATAACATTTTTGTACAAGATACAAAATGCCTGAAGCATCTTTCCCCACATCTATGAGTAAAAATAAGGAATACCAAGTTAAACTAACAAGTTAAAATAAAATTCTCCCCTTTTTATGGGACCTAAAAGCTGCTGTTGAAAGTAACATTGATATATCTGCAAGTTTCAGCAGCTAAGCTGTTATGTTCAAAATTAGTAGCCAGAATCCTGTTACTGATTTATGCTTGCATAAGGAAAATCACTTAAATAGCAATTTACATTCGTTAATTAGATGCTTTTCCCATCCTTGTGTGTGTGCCCAGTGATGCAGTTGGGTGCAGTCAGGAACACCAATAGCATCTCATTAGTAAGCAGCAAATTGCCATCAGGACTTACACTATTTCCCTTTTGCATGTGTCAATCGGCAATAGGATTTTGGCTAGGAGACAAGGAATTGGGGCAGGGATTGCTGCTGCACAGTATCTGAGTGGCCAGCTGCAGAAGGAGGCGGAGAAGGGAAATCTGTGCTCCTGCCACGACTGTTCAAATGTCTGAAGAAGAATGTGCACTGCCTTGTAAGTGGGGGAACCTGGCTGGGGAGGGGGGGAAGGGAATGAGCAGCACCTATGGTGCTGGTACAACGATCCGGCATGATCTGACGACTCAGGATCATGCCCATCTCTATTTGAAACTAATGTGATTCTTATTAGTAAACTGACATGAAAGTATGATTTATTTTTAGGCCAGGATGAAAATGCTGAAGCTAGCATGCAAGGGAAGGAGGAGAGAAACAAATGTACAGGAATGTTGCTCTTTTGGGCTTACAAGATCAGACCACTGCTCAGAGAAATCCACTTAGAGATTAGTTATGTGCTGCCAGAAACTCTTCAGTTGCATGGAAATATAATTTGTTCAGGGAGCATTGCTGAAGCTGAGCTTTAATACAACCTTAGAAGTCACTGCTGGACTAAGACCATTATATAAATGAAGGGCCCCCACCTATTGAAAGCTTGCCACTTCCTGTAGGATATCTATAACATTTACTGCATTTCAAAAGCAAATAACTTACTGCTATCTTTGAGGCATCTGTTTAATACAAATACAAATTTGTTCCACAACAATTAGTAATTATATTAAGTTTTCCCCCACCCCAAATACCTTTTTAATACACAAGTCACCCACAAAAGCATCTAAGCTCTTTTGCAAAAGAGAACTGGGTAAAACAAGTAACAAATTTGTAAGTTTGACAATTATACACGGTAAAGTATTTGCATCATAGATTGCATTGCAGTGCAAGATTCAGAATTGGACAACTAATTTTGGTAAAGGATGTATGTACTTAGGTACACATTTCCGAAACACACTGTTGACTGCTTTCCAGCTGTAGCGGTAGCACCAGAGGACTGCTTAAATAAGCTCATAAAGCTAACAAAAGGAATGTCTCCCCCACAGACAATTATTTTGGGGCAATTATTTTGATATTTTAACTACCTTATGTGTTAAATTTGCCCCCTTGTTGCTTTCTTAGGGGATATCTTACTCCACCATGTAAAAATCTTCTTTGATATATCATCTTTAATTTCTAAAAGTAGTCCATATATAACAGGGACTGAAGAAGAGAAGCACTGCAATTTCTAAGTGACAGTTATGTTTTTTTAAAGTATTTCTTCATAGCTCCTTCAGCTGCCTGCATTGAGTTTCAGAAACAGCATGTTGAATACTTTTCTCAGCATCTCAGTAATGAAACCAAAATCACCACTCATCTTGAAAATATGGTCTGATATGCTTGTTCTGTAAGCTCCTTTTGACTCATAGGTTTGGATGATAGAGACCAATTTCCCTCAAAACACATTGATTTACTGTCATACCAAGGTGAATCCAAGACTTAATGGAAATTTGGACAAGCATTTAGTTGGAACCTTCTAGCATTGCCATATACATAGGACCTGCAGTCTGAAACATACAAGCCCTGTTATATGGATTCATTGTAGAAAGATTGCAAAAATTTTAATTTGGGAACTCAATTGCCTGAGTCTGCAATTACATTAGCAGAATATATTAGCCAATTTATACTCTACTGTTATCTTGCATTATTCAACTTATTACATCTACAATCGTATTTAAACCAAAGATATTTATGCACATCAGTGGCATTGTCTCAAATGTTTATAGTCAGGTAGGATGAACTAGATTAGATCCAGATCTGTGTCTCAAAACAGGAAGGATGTAAACTAACCAGTTTGAAATTGGTTTCGGATTGTGAGCCTACATTTTGGTTTGTTCTGGCCTATCATCTGAGTTGAAACATGTGACTGAAACCCCAGAAATGCCTTGGGATTGTAATTCCAACACAGCATTTTAATGTTAAAAGTGCATTTTCTCTTTTTATATGAACAGTTCTTTGACAGGTCAATTATGCAGCTTCTACATAAGAAGGATCCCTGACACTGCAGTTGTTGCCAAATTCATCATCTTGCATCAACCAAGCCATGAATCCAGCATTGCAATAAATTATGCCACCTACTGGTATCATTGTGCAATCTAATTTTTACAGAATTGTCATACTTATTTTCTGAATCTTCTGGCTCAACGGATTACTGCATCTTTTAAAGTTTCAAGCATGGAATAGTAGTATTCTTGTAAAATTACTTAAGCCACTGCATTTTGCCTTCACAAGTCCCCCTCCTTATTAGTAACACTGTTCTTGTATAAATCACATTACTGGGGCACAACTCACGATACATTCAACAAGCATTAACAGTGGAATAAAGGAGAAACTTCTTACTGTTTAGAGAATTCAATTGTGTTGCCTTCTGAAATGGGCTGCCAACATTCTTTTTTTCATTTTCGATATCCTACTGGGAATATCATTATTGTGATATGTATCTTCCTTGTCTTATTTAATCACATTTCAGTTTTACATTTATCTGCTAAAACCATAATAGTAAACTGACTATTCAACCCTTAAGCCTTTATCCTGTATAGAAAATACCTTAAGCTGTTTTCCTGTATAGAAGATAGCATATGTATTTTTTCATTACATGAACACTGGAGAGATACTGGCATTGTTGTAATACTGCCTAAATTATTTCAAGAATGCTCTAACAGCTTCTGAGTTTGTTCTATCCTGATCTCTTACAACAAAAGAATACATATTAATCTTCCTTTCTTTGCATATTTCATACACTAATAAATGAGTACTGAAAATCTTTTGCCTTGAACTAAAGTACTTCTCTGGTCTATAATACATCTGATTATAGAACATATTATCTTTCCTTCAGCACAACCATTTTAGAGGTGGCAAGGATACTCTGTTAAATCTTAGTTCTTTACTTCATTCTCCTTTGAAGGATGAGAAGCAACCAAATTGTTGCTCTGGGTCACTAGTATACCTTGAAAGAAAATCTTGGGGGAGGGTTTTTCTTACCTATTTCTACTGGGGACTAAGGGAAATATTTTACCTCATGTACAGTAACTCAATTTAAAAATAAATTTCAGTTTTACTTTTTGGAAAAGTTTTTGTTTTTCATCGCTTCCAAACTATACATGCTATAAGGACTCCATTAGCCACCTCAGAATATAAAACCACCAGATTGTGAAGCTTAGATAATTTGTGCTTTGCTGTATGTATGTTACATGATTTTAAAGTTTAATGTGGATCTTTAAAAATTTGCTTTAAGGTACCCTCCCTCCCCCCAAGATTACAATCATTAGCAAAAAGACCATAGTAGCAAATACATATAAGGGTTTTTTCCCCTTGTAAACAGAACACTGGCAGTACATCTGCAAGTGCGGGGTTTTTCAGCCATCAAAAGTGGTGCTGCTATATTTGCTTGCCCATTAGAAGTTGTCATTTGTCGTATTTTCTTCTTTGCCACTTTTGATTATGCTTAGCAAGACAGGTGAGAAATTGCTTCACAGTTACATTCCAGAGGTAATGTGTATCTTCTCTTGATCAATTTTCCTTGTTTTTTTTCCTTGCTCTTCACCAAAAACACTTTGCGGTTCTGCCATTCTAGTGTGGCTGGACAGTAGAAAGCACGCTCCTTTATTCTTCACTGGGGAAAAGAAAATGCCACTTCCATCAAACTGGCATAGTGTCAGAAGCAGTTTCTTCTCCAGATTGCTGAGAGTTTGTGCTTGTCTGTGTTACTGGCACCACCACACTGTCTTTGATTTCAGTGTTCTGCAAGGAAGAGGAATTTTTCTCCTCAAGTTTTTTGGCAGTATCTGGGCAGTTCTGAACAAAGATCACGCGATTGTAGGCCTTCAGCCTTCGCCACAACTGAATATAGACTTTGCACTGTACATACATGAAGACGAGACCACCAGTGAACCCAATGGCCACCACAACTAATTTTGTCCAAAATGGCCACTCTAGGACACCTTTTGAATTTAAAAAAAGAAACAAAAAAGATTGCATTAGTATTACTGTACTGTACATGCTTCTTGAAAAGCTGCAGTTTCAATATGCTTAAGAAATGAAGCTCAGCTATTTTAACTATATTTTCAGCTATATTTACTTGCTCTCTGCTCCTTAGAGATGAAGCCAGCTAGCAGTTACCTCCTAGTAGGGCCACTACTACATGTGTACTGTAAGATCACATGTGTCTAATGGACTTTGGTAAGCAAGATAATGAATGCTGCTTAGGAAGATATTAAAAGGCTTGATACACATACACAGAGCTAGGATGAATAAATATAGCCATCTGTGAGAATATATAACTGCTACTAATTTGTAAAAAATAAGAATCCGATTCATGAGGGTAAGCACTAGCTGTGGGAAATCTGGCAGGGGATGCCTAAGCTTACTTAAAATGAAAGCGATCATCCAGTAAAACAATAATTGCATATTCTTCCTGCTGAGTTCTACTGTATTTAGATTTTCTTATTTAGAAAATCATTTTTGCTATTTAGCTTCCTTCTCTTTCCTAAATGCTTCCATGTATTAAGAGTACAACTAGACAAACAAGTTGTCCTGAGCTTGAAGAGGCCAAACAAGGTTGCTCTAAAGTGTGGTGTGCCATTTGGGGGTGATCCTTTCATCCACACGCAAGGATGGAGTGGTTGGGGGTAGGAAACCACACCATACCTCAAGAAGTCTAGCCCATTCTTCCCTCTAAAGGGAAATAAAAAAAATAATGAAGAGGATTCCCGTCTATGTTCCCTCCTCACTTTCCTTCTGTGGAGGGAGCAGGAGAAAGCTACAATTAAAAAAAGAAACGTAAGTAGCATATAACTGAATTTGTTAGCCACTTAACTGATTCAGTGCTGGATTATAACAGATCAAAAACCAAACCTCCCACATCCCTTTCTGTCTCCCCCTCTGTGGGAAGAGTGGAGGAAGCTGGGGTGGAAGCAGCGCTACTCCTGTCCTCTGAAGATGCCGGCCACAGAGACTGGCGAAAAGTTAGGAAGAACAACCTTCAGAACATGGCCAGAGCCCAAAAAAACCACAACAACCACAAGCTGGATTTTGTTGTAAATTTATTAGTAAGTGGCATCTTTTCCACCTGCGTGAAGGTTAGATACTGCAGCAGCTTCAAAAAAGTGACACCTAAGCGATTATTAACTGAAAGGATTCAGTTCTGTGAGATTAGGGGTGGGGAGACCCTCAATCTCTACAGAGATCTTCACAGACAACTTATTTGTACAGGATCATCAAAATATTGTTCTGATTTTAAACTGATCTTTGGTCCTGTTGATGTCACTGGAACTAAAGAGGCTGAAGACAAGGTAAGTTGCTCATTTGTGTTTTTAACATGTATTTATAAAGGAAAAAAGTCTTTCTAATGAGAATGGTTTCGTTCAGACTATAAATTATAAATGTTTTTATCCTTTTGAGATTAAGGAAATCCCAGGGGCCACAAAATATGCCTAATAGTTCCAGTGTTTGCAGGAAAGACTGGTCTGCCTTCAGAAAATAAGACTGGAAACATAAGATTGGAAAATGTTCACTTAATGTATTCGTGAAGGCTTTTACGGCCGGGATCTAATGGTTGTTGTGGGTTTTCAGGCTCTTTGGGCGGAGGACAGCACCCTGTGCTCTGTGCTTCAGAGTGCTGTCCTCTGAGGATGCCGGCCACAGAGACTGGCAAAACGTTAGGAAGAACAACCTTCAGAACATGGCCAAAGAGCCCGAAAAACCCACAACAACCTTCACAAGTTGAATCTTTCCTGTTCTATACACTCAAAAAGTCTCTTTCAGTTTCTATCCCTCCATCTCCTATCTTCCTCTTTCCTTCTCTCCTCATGTTAAGTCACAGTGGCTGAATTGGGGCTTACATCTGCATGAGCAAGTATAGAATTGTGTTGCATTTCCAGTAAAGTGAGCAGTGTCTTACATACACCTTTGATTCATCACCTTAAGAGGGACACAGCTTTCTCTTCCAGTAATAGCACTGAATGGCCATACAATGCACTCTTGCGAAGAGAAGCAAGATTGGATTTGATGCTGAAGCTTCCAGTGCGAACATGTTTCATTTGGTTCTGTGTACCTACTAGCCAGTATATTTCCCTGCTTGCTACTCATCCCCTTAACAGCCTTGCTTTTGCTCTGTATTTGCTTCTGAAGCAGCAGAAAACCTACAAAGAAAAAAACATTAGATGTACTCACCGTTGTCATTGCCTTGCTTAATTTCCTCAGCAGTCCGATCTATTAGTACATACAGTGACCAAACTACGCAGGTAATTGCAATAATGTGGAAGGTGACTGAGCAGACTATTTTTCTTCTCTCACTTGTTGTCATCTGTAGTTTTTCCCACTGCAAACAAGGAAAAAATAATTGGGTATGCAGGACCTCAAGAAAACATGTCACTGAACCATTCCCCTATAATTAGTAGCAAAGCAGCTGATATCTCTTGCACAGAGATAGAACAGTAAAAGCCACATTCCCCAAAACTACAGTGTATTCAAGGGGGATCTTTATGGTGCAGTAGTGCCTGTGGGCAGGTTTCTCTAGCCCAGTGATCTCCAGATATATTGGCTAATACTGGCAGGGTATAATGGGAACTGTAGCCTGTCATAGCTAGAAGGCACAAGTTGTGGTAATTCTGGCTTAGAAGAAAGATGTTGATTTTCCAGATCTTCCCGAATACCTCCACTGGAATTACCTTGAATACTGTAGAACCTAATAAAAGACTTAACCATGTACATTCATATACCATAACTAAAGCTGCTTTTTTATTGCTCACATTGTCTGGTCATTGTCAGACTGGGACAGGGGGAGGACGAATGGAACAACAGAAGGCAATAAGTATTATGCTATGGATGAAAGTGGAATTTGCAATCAAAGAGAGGACATGACACAGCTGCAATATTACATTCATTAGACTTCTGTCCACCGCATTACTGAGCCCTCCTTTGCCAGGATTGCCAAAACCAAATGGAGTTATTTCCTTCCAAACCTTTCTATCAATTTGGAGAATGGGGATGGGGGGGGCGTGGGGCGGCGGAAGGGTTAAAACTACTGCACATGTCCCTGTTTTTCTCTTCCACTGTTACAGTTTTTAACAAGTAGTTCTAAAATGTATGCCATTTGTATGCACCACGTCCCATTGGTGGCTCTTGCGTTTCTAGTAAAAATCAAAGTAGATCCCACAACCTAAAATTCACTCCACTTATCATATAAAAATATATATTTTGCAATGTTAGTGATAAATGCCTATTCTACTAAAAGGGTGTGTGACTAACTTGCTTTGGTGTGAAGTTTTTCAATGTGAGTTGCTATTTCCCATGGGTTAAATCACTGTAATTGTCCAGATGAGACCACCCCTTTCTTTTATTTTTAAAAATTTCCAAGGTGACATTGTGCATATTTAAATCAGCACTACAAACGTCAGAAAGCATTGAAAAAAAGAGATTATTTGGTGCCAAGAGGTGTTGAGCTGAGGGGAACTGACACCTCTGTGACCACATCTTTTCATCAGATTAGCCAGCCACACAGAGAGAAAGCAGAAAAAGATTACACCAACTGAAGCGGAGTATAATAAACCATTCCTGCCAGCTGTAAAAAACTGAGAATACTCCCAACTGAAAACAGATGATTCCCAACCAGGCTTCTCACAGAACTTCACATGGAGTAGTTATCAGTTTTTAATCTGATTCCATCCATGCCAAATCCGACACAAACTGCAGGGTAAATGGCCAGTTTTGTTCCATCCATGCCAAATCCAGCACAAACTGCAGGGTAAATGGCCAGTTTTGTTGCCCTCTAAAATGGTTCATTTACATTCCTATGTAACATACGCTATCATAAACATTAGCGGAGCTTAGGCAAAACAAGATGTGATGGTAAACATGTCCCAGGCCATTTGAGATAATCCCAGTTACCCAGTCCCAATTAAAAAAAGCCACAGTGGAGAGGCATGGACTGTCTGGTCAACAATCATGGGAGCTTTAAACTTTTGATGTTTCCAAAGTTTCAAACTGAAAAGCTCATCCTGCGGCTATTATTAATAAGAGAAAAGAACCACCAAACATAAAAAGACCAATCATGCAATTAATGTCACATCTTGTTTGGTTCTATGGTTCATATGAGGGGAGCTGAGTAAGTCCAACTATTGACTAGAACCCATTCAGAGAAAACCTTTTACTATTGTATATCAAATCAGATCAAATGTAGGTTTTTATCCTTATGTAATCGCGTTTTTCTTCCTTTTGTAAGCAGATTAAAAAGCTGAGCTGTTGAAAAGCAGCAACCTTTGAATATTAGTTTTGTATCTCATTAAAATATCTGGCTGGTTGGCAGTGATAATTTCACACTGCCATCTTGCTGTTATTTCTAATAGTACATGCCTAAACTGTATGTCTGAAATAATATTTAATCGATGTGGCACATTTATATCACTGTAACCTCAAACAGATGATAAAATCATGACAGAAATAAAAGCACCCCTGTAGGTAAGGAATAACAAATGGAGAGCAAGCTGGACTTAAGAGGCATTGTGAATTTGGTCCTTAGGTCATAAAGAATTTGTATAGAACGGCCACAATTCTATCCATCTTCAAACTGGTTTGTGGAAGACAGTGTTCTGATGTTTATAATATAGTATGCTGCACACACAAATAAATTAACTTCATTTCTTTACTGTTTTGCAAAGATGCACACACTGTCTTTTCAGAATTTTTACAATGTAATTTAAAATGGTCATCAAACATATTAGCCACACCAGGCTGCAGCAGCAAAACAAACAATGGATCTTAGGCTATCTAAAAGTCTTACAATTTTTTATGGCATAAGCTTTCACCAATGCGTTTATAAACACATTGGCAAAGCAGCTACCATGTTCTCAAGACTCACAAAGAGAGTATGGCTCAATAAGAAGCTGACGACATACACCAAGATCCAGGTATATAGAGCCTGTGTCCTGAACACACTCCTGTACTGCAGTGAGTCCTGGACCCTTTGTGCACGGCAGGAGAGGAAACTGAACACATGTGTTGTCTCTGATGCATTTTTGGTATCACCTGGCAGGATAAAGTTCCAACTAGAGTAGCCCTAGATCAAGCTGGAATTTTTAGCATGTATACATTACTGAAACAGCAACGTCTACATTGGCTTGGGCATGTTGTGAGAATGGCTGATGGTCGGATTCCAAAAGATCTACTGTATGGAGAATTAGTGCAGGGAAATTGCCCCACAGGGGGACCACAGCTGCAATACAAGGATATCTGCAAGCGGGATCTGAGGGCCTTGAGAATGGACCTCAACAGATGGGAAAACTTGACGTCTAAGCGTTCAGCCTGGAGGCAGGTGGTGCATCATGGCCTCTCCCAATCTGAAGAGACCCTTGTCCAGCAGGCCAAGGCAAAGAGGCAGTCATGAAAGCAGCAAAATCAGGGAGCTGGACAGGGGACAGATTGTATTTGTCTTCAGTATGGAAGGGTTTGTCACTCTCAAATTGGCCTTCTCAGGCACAGTAGACGCTGTTCCAAGTCCTCTACATAGACCACGTTACCATAGTCTCTCGAGACAATCTATCAGATGCAGGGAGTTTTACCCTGATACACAGAGACACATATTTGCATGTCTTTGCATATACACATATCTGCAATTTTCATGGCTCAGGAACAGAAGATTGTAAGCAGTAACACTAAAAGGAATGTAAAGCAGAAAGCAGAGTAATAATTGCATGACCATTGTATAATCACAGTGTGCATTCACAAAACAATTGACGATAACAAAGACATTGACAATTGCAAGCTATCACCAAGGGTGCTGTACTTTGAATGCAACTATCACTTCACATTTTCTAAATTTAAATTCCCTTTTAACAAACTCCACATCAACTGCATTTCTATACACCTGTAACTCAGAGTAACACTTCATGTATGTGATGACCTCAGACCACAAAAGCTGGTTTAAATTTCTCCCAGTATAGTCCATCACAGATGTTTTCGGCTGTAATTCGTGCAAACATGAACACTGAGACATGCTGGCCTGAGCTGAAGGAAGCTGTAATTTAAAATACTTGAAGGGCAGCAATCTGGCAAATGCTGATTTATTCTATAATATTATGCTAGTTTTTTTAAGTGCTGCAAAACTATTGGCTTTAACTATAGAGTGGATGCCCCGCCTGTCTGTGGATTGGGTGCCTCCCTCTCTTTGGGGGGGGCGCTACTCTTTCCACTACTGATGAGGTTCGCAGCCTGGCGTGTGTCTGGACCCAGCACTATCAATGGAGTCCCAGAGAGTGTCTGTGGTCCACTCCACCTATTTCCATCTGAGGAGGATTGCCCAGCTATGCCCCTACCTTGATACCAGGTCCCTCATCACGTTGGGCCATGCACTGGTAATCTCAAGATTAGACTACTGCAAATCTCTCTACATGGGGTTACCTATGAGGCTGTCATGGAAACTTCAACAGGTCCAGAACACAGCAGTCAGACTACTGAGTAGAGTGAATAATTATCAACATACCATGCCAATTCTGGAAGCCTTACACTGGTTACCTGTCCATTTCTGTCCAGCTTCAAAGTGATGTTTTTAACCTATAAAGCCTTAAGCAGTTTGGGACCTCACTACCTTAACAGAATGCCTACTTCCAACAATATCTGCCACCCTGAATAGACCTTTGGTCTAGATGGGTGAGGTAGAAATCTAATAATAAAATAAATAAGATCTGCCCATCATACAATAACATTCCAAGCAGGCTCGCTGAGGATGCTAACCTTGAGAGAGGCCCGTAGATAGAAGATGAGAATCCAGGCCTTCTCGGTGGTTGCTCCTCAGCTATGGAATGAACGCCCCCCTCCCCCGCAATTCACTTTGTCCTTTGCTGGCCATATTTAATAAGCCACTAAAAACCTGGCTACTTAGGCAGGCATTTGAAAATATACCTGCAAGCTCAGCTGAGTCTAAATAACGTATCTGACCAACTGTATTGAAGTCTGGCCAAGATGCTCCAGGCCTTCTCGGTGGTTGCTCCTCAGCTATGGAATGAACGCCCCCCTCCCCCGCAATTCACTTTGTCCTTTGCTGGCCATATTTAATAAGCCACTAAAAACCTGGCTACTTAGGCAGGCATTTGAAAATATACCTGCAAGCTCAGCTGAGTCTAAATAACGTATCTGACCAACTGTATTGAAGTCTGGCCAAGATGCTATGCTTTGTATCTGACCAATGTATGCCTTCTTAAATGTTCTAATTACTTTGAATATTTTTAAATGTTTTATTTTGATGAATTTTTATTTTTTGAGTTTATTGCTTATTTGTATTTTATTATTTCTATTTCTGTGATGTTAAATAGTACTTAGTGGCAT